AATAAAATAACTTTGTTTTTGTCACTTTTACGGTGGATTGTATCAACTCCATTACATACAGAAGGGAAACTTCACCAAAGTGAAACATAAATCTGTGGATCTGTGTTTGATTACTCTGCCTGGCTTTCTCAAGGACCAGGATGTGACACAAAAATCTGGATTATGGAATTGAAAGTGAAAGTAGTCAAACTGAAATGACCAAAATACAGTTTCAAAGCAAATTAATTCAAATTCAAATGTCTAAATTCAGTTTCAAATCATTAAATTCAGTATCAATTTAGTGAAATTTATTTTCAAACCAATGCATTCAATTTCAAACTACGCACATTCAGATTCAATCTGAGCAATTCAAATCCAATTCCTGCTGGTACAAGATTTATCCCATAAAGTTTTCCCTTTTTCACATCTTTTAATTAATTTGTAAATAAAACGTTTCTGCACAGCCATATAGTCGTAAACCCCTCTATCAAACTAGAATGGACCGGTCTGGAAGCTGGAAGTGGGCGGAGTGTGAAGTGCCTAATTTGCATTTAAAGAAGCAGCCTCTAAATGAGTTGACATGAAACGCACAGCAGAAAAGGGGTGGGGCTTGTGGAGTTACAATAAGGCGGAATTCAGACTAAAGCATTGCAGTTCCCCTTTACATAGACCCCAATTGAAGTATTTAAAAGCTGATGTTTTGAACACATTTTTTTCTCAATATTTGTGAAACCGGCTAGGTTACAGCAATTTTTCTGTTTTTGATGTCACATCGAGCCGCCATCTTGAATGTGGCAGATTTCTAAAGTTTATTAATTGTAGACATACATCAAACTATTATTTCCTTGGAGTGTCATTAAAATGTTTCAAACTTAAAAACTTATAATTTATTTCATAGCTGTCACTAATCCTTATTCTGCACAGGGGAACTGTCTTCCACAAATCATATTGTTTCATCAGTAAAAAAAGTTATCTGTCCATAACTTTTCTGATCAATACCTTAATACACGTATATATTTTGTATAATTAAGGATTAAGAAGCTTATTTTTGCAGCTAAAATCCATAAGATCAGAAACACGTTCGAGGAAGACTCGGTCACAGCCTTTGACACATTGAATGACACAGACAGCTAACATGTGGGTCTATAGATTTAGTGCCTT